AACATCCACAAAACACTTGGACACCTAGGATCCAAGAAAACAGTGGAAACCCTCTGTCAATACTTCTGGTGGAAGTCGATGAGGAAGGACACCCACAAGTTCTGCAGGTCTTGCAGAACTTGTCAGACAACAAAGAAAAGCACCAGGAGAAATCCTGGACTGCTTCACCCACTCCTGACCCTGGAAACACCATGGTCATCAATAGCCATGGACTTCACAGGTCCATTCCCAACAAGCTTGGGATATGATTACCTCTGGGTAATCATCTGCAGGTTGATGTCCAACATCCACCTGATTCCAATAAAAACCAACAAACGCATTAGAACTAGCGTTCATATTCCTTCATGAAGTTGTAAGACTCCATGGTCTACCACACTCGAATATCAGATCGAGACTCAAAATTCACATCAAAATTTTGGCATGAACTACACCAAATACTTGGTGTGCAGTTGAAATTCACAACTGCATTCCATCTGCAAGGCGACAGCCAAGTGGAAAGAATGATACAAAAAGTAGTACAGATACTATGCACGATGGTCAGACCAGATCAATGTGACTGGGCAGCGAAGCTGTCAATGGCAGAATTTGCAATCAATGCGAGCTCAAACACATCGACAGGATTTGCCCCATTCGAATTAATCTATGGCCACATGCCAAAGATGTGCCTAACAGCACCACCCTCGGACTACCCAGGAGTGAACAACTTTGCCCAAAAGGCGAAGGGAAACCTCATGGCAGCACACGACACGATAATACACAATCACGCTGCTCAAACAATCCAGGCAAATAAGAAAAGACACCCAGACCTGCCTTTGAGAAAAGGCAAGCTTGCATACTTATCCATGGATAAGTTGAACCTACCCAAAGGGAGGGCAGGCAAACTAAAGCCCCTGTATATAGGGCCTTATGAAATTCTGGAAACATTTCCAGAGATGTCAAACTACATCCTCAAGTTTCCACCACAACTTGAACAACATGGAATCCACCCAAGATTCCACGTATCCCAGCTTGCACCTCATGAGCTGAACAACCAAGAAATCTTCCTAAATAGGGAAGTAAACATATTCTACGATTTCAGAGAAGACCCCGATCACAAAGCAGTAGTTTGCGAAATCTTAAACCATGCGTGGGTTCATGACGAACTCTGGTTTAAGGTCAAATGGGGGCTAGGGGACACCACATGGGAACCCCTAGGAAATTGCAACGACCTCGTCCACCTGGACAAATACCTCACATTACAAAATGTGAGGGAACCAGAAAATCTCCCTATCAAAGAAGATAGGGAACTCTCAGCATCACTATGCCCCCAAAAACAGAGGCAGAAGAAGTGAAGCCGAAGGGCGATTGCCCACAGCCAAGAGCGTGGGAAGATTCTGGGCAAGCAACTCACCCAGACAGCCACACCATGTGCTAGACATCACATGGGCTAGGAGTAACCTACCTAGATCACGTGAACCACAGGCTCACATGTAAAACCACACACTTGTGGCAAATCCCACACATGCAAGAACCTAAACCCCTCCCACCACCACAAGAAACAAAATGATGAAAATGTCATTCTCTGGGGGAGGCAACCCTTGATTTCATCCGAACAAGCTGCCAGACATCAAGATACGACAACCCAGGGAGCAAGGCTCCCCAGAACAACAACAACACCAGGTGCAGATAAGTGCCATGGACTATACAACGCATGTGGCACAAATGAGTGCTACAAACCAACAACCATCCACAATGCCAACAGGCACTGCATACCCCCAGCCCCCTCAAAGGGGCTTCCAACCATATGCAGTGCAAACTGCACCGATGGCACAACAAGCGCCATTCCAGGGGCAGCATTTGCTGCTGCAGCCCCAGGCATACTCCCCAGGGAACTTCCCTGGCCAAATCACCCCCTGGATCGGCCAATTTGGCCCAGGTCCAACAACACCCCAGCCAAATGCAGGCTGGGAATCAGCCATTGCATCAGTGGTAGCTGCTCAGACAGGTCAACTCCATCAGGAGCTGAAAGAGATGAAGTCCCTCGTAGGAGGGAGACAAGGGAGCAAAAGTGGCTCCTCGTCCAGGCCGTCCAAACGGGCATGGTCTGGTGACTCAGGGGTGTCAGGTGATGCCTGTGATAATTGCACCCATTGGAGGTGCGAGTACAATAGAGCACAAAGAGATGCTGAGGGCATCTTCACCTCTCTGAGAGACACAGAGAGAGAAGTCAATCTCCAAAAGAGGGAGATCGAATTACTAAAATGCAAGCTCAAAGAGGCACATGCACTGGCAGACCTTGCTGCCAAACCCACCATGATGGGGGCCTCCCAGGTCAGGGGGAGGGGATATGGTGCCGGGGCATTGACTATCCCACCACCCTGTGGGCAGGCAACCCTGTCTGGGTTGCATAAGGGCCTGCCCTCAGAAGGGCAAACCCATGTCAAGGGGAAGAGGGAGAGTGGTGGGCAACCAACAGCAGACCCCAAAATGGGGACCACTGCCAGAGGCGGTGCAAGAGGGCTAGCGGCTCTCTATGCTGACTAAGCTTGTGGGGCCAAACTCTCCAAAACTCCTACTTTCTCTCTAGACTTTACTTGACTCTCAATCCTTAACTTCATGGTGAGTTCTCCAGGATTTCTGCAAGGTCCGGGCTCAACAAATCCACTACCCACTCGTTGCAGGCTAGATTGTTGCCCTTATTCCTACTGTTGGAATTCCACACATTCACTCCAACTCTAGCGCATCCTAGCACCTTAGAGAATTTGGGGGAGGGGAGAACTTCTTTTTAAAAATCTGGTATGTACAGGATTATAAGAAATAATTATTTTTTAGAAATAATAGATGGGGAATATTGGTGCCATATGGCACCTGCATACTTTATTAGGCGAAATAATAAAAAGGGTAACAGTAACAATAAAAGAATGTCAATCAATATCTGAAATGATGGCAAAAATATGAAAATATAAGAAATAAGTGATATCTCAACGGATTTACGGAATTAAGGGCCGAAATTAAAAATAAAGCCGGAGATAACTCTCACGCAGCCGATAAACATTTTTACCAATTTATTAGACGCTGTGGGAACGAGTGAGGCTGGAATTCTGGGTTGCTGCTTGAGGTTCCCATGCCCACACATACTCGTGACCTGCCATGCCTAACTTCTCCAACACAGAACTCTGTCAAATCTCCACCGATTGGGACGTTCTTGATATCGTCGGAATCGTACGAATTAGCACTATTTTTAGATACCAAATTCGTATCGAGTTGTCGCATGAATGAAAGGTGGTTTTCTAATCGTGGAAACAGGTATCCAAGCCAGCTCTGCGTGTGGGCGATTATCCCACCTACAGTGGTGGGCCGCTGAGTACCTCAGCACCCTATGGGCAAGCTACCCTGCAGGGAAGTGTCCACATGCTATACGAGACTGCCGAACTCAATGAGTTCGGTAAAGTCAAAGCTCCAGTTGATGTAACAATCGACCCCAACTTCCCCATGAGGAGAATAGCAGGGTCAGAAGCGGCACATGATGCTGCATATGCTTGGTGGACAAGCGTGAGTGGGAAAGAATTCATACATTGGTACGAACAGGCCAAAGCCACCTTTAAAAGCGGCAAGGTACATAGAGTCCTTTGTGAAAAAGCAAAGGAAACTGAGAAATACTTCTTGGGACTCCCGAGTATTGCAAGACTCACAGAGGAGTACAATTCCCTGGAGAATGAGGGAAAAATCTCCTGGGAAAGTCTAGGCAAAGCTGCCTATATAAAGTCCCAGTTCAAACCACTCAGGACTCCTGAGGAATGCACCACAAGAACTGCAGAGTGGGAAGCGAAAGCTTCCAAATACCGGGAAAGAGATGCAAGTCTCCATGCTGGACAAACAGGCCAGCGACCACCCTTCCCCAGGTAAACTTACCATACTCTACACCTGAGCCAAGTAGCTCAGGAACACAACAACCCACTCCCACCCAGGAAGCGCCCACTTCATCAAGCCCACAGCTTGAAAATGTAGCTTAGGCTACGTCATCGCATCCAACACAGCAATTGGATGTCCAGATGAACAACCCAGAGGAAAACCCTCCTCCAGGGCAATAACTCTACCCTTGAGGAAAGGGAAAGTGACATGGTAATACACCATTGAGGTGCCTGTGAAAACACCTTCCCCCAACTCGAGGCCCCACACACAATATTGTATGCAAGGAACCACAAGTAACAATTGCGGAAATCTCTACTTTGTCGAACCCACATCCACCACCGCTCATGTGTAAACACCATTTACACACGAATCCTCACGGAACAAGTGAGGAGGAACACCAAAGACATATAATCTTTGGGTCGAAATTTATTTTCGAAAAACTCCTTCTCTTCATTACTTTCCCCTTTGTGATACCCATGTATTGCCGTTCACTTCAAAGTGATGGTCCCACACCCATTTATTCCCTCAATTTCTCTCACCAACATGTATAAATTGTCCACTTTAAAGTGACGACAATAAAACACTCATTGATATTCTCAAACTCAATGTAACTCTTTTTTTAATTTTATTCTCTTCATCATTAACCATGTATGCATTGCAAATGCAATGCAAGAGGGAGAATGTCAGGGCAATAGCCCCAAACCCCAAGCCATATGTAATTACGAGGTACATATAAGGGAGTTTCACGGTTGACTGAAGTCAGCTGAATTGCATCTGAAGTGAAATTCCTAAAGTGACACGTGAGTGACAAAACTCGATCTTAACTCGTTCTAAACTGACGACTTTGACTTGGGGCTCAAGTCCCCCAACTGGCCTAAAGTCGATTTTCTAAAGTCAGTCTAAATTTGGCCTTATACACAAGTCCGCAAATCTTGCTGTACAGTTCTCTGCTTTAGGTCACCTGTCCCTTTGCGCATTTTCCCTCACCCCTCATCACCCCACCCCATCACCGTCACCACCATCTCGCTTCCCAAACCATGCCAGCCAAATGAAAAAACCCTGAGGGTTCGGTCCTTCAGCTACGATCAGGGCGCTGCTCACGTACAACAATGGACAACGAGTCTGCCAGTGCCACCCCACCCATGGTTGCCGTCAAGGCTGAAATTAAGTCTGAGCCTCGCACTCCAAAGGTTCAATGGGACACCAATGAACGCTGGACAGAGCGCCTAATTGAATATCTCACAAACCACCTTGATGTTCGACTGAAAATGTTCAGTGATTCTGTCAAGGATGCAAGGAAGGAGTCACGGAAAAAGGTGAGCATCTAATATGATGCCTTTCAACTCTCACCACTCACTATCACCTAGGTTGTTGGTAGCAAACCCAAAGTTGAATATTACCATGAGATAGCAAAGGCTGTCTTTGATGTCGAAGGGGAACCGGATCATGGCGCTTATTTAATGGAACCTGAGCGCTATGCAACCTCTGTCTTAGGTCGGATCACTTAGTAAGTTTATTAGTTGCTGAGGTCACTGTAGCTCATCTAGTATTCTCCCAATTGTAGTTTACAGAAGACATACACCGGATATCGCAAAATGCTACAGCAGACCGGTGAGGGCCTCAAAGATGAGGATGAGGATAAGAATGAAATGCACAGAAACCAGCTAGGTAGCGTACATGTCAATTACTTGGTACACTGCTTATTTTCTCATTTTTGAAGAGATGATTGGTGCATCTTTCCCATGGTGGAACACACTGCATGGATGGTGGTCAGAGCATCCAAAATACGCATTCCAGATGGTAACAAACTCAACAAGCGGCACTGGGAAGATGGTAAGTGATTTTGAACAAGCCGTCTTTGTGCCTCCAGAGCAAGTTGCTGCACCCATTGAGACCAATACCTCCCATCCACCTTCACCACCAGCCATTGTAAATGCACTGCTTTCCCATGTCAACTCACCAATTTCTTGGGCCGAACCACCACCTCAGGTTGACATGGGACTTCTTAATACAGACACCACCCTTTTTCGCATGGAGTCGCCCACTGGTTTTCCACTCTCCCTTCCAGACTCGCAGCTCCCTGATGTCAAGCCAGGGATTAATGCAGAAGACTCAAGTGTGTCTTCATCTCATACACTGGCAAGGTCAACCCCAGGGCCTGCCACACTCAAGTCCAAGGTTGACTTGACGCTCACAGCTTCACGCACATCAGGGTCAAAGGGCCGCAAAGATTTTATTGCCGATTTCCATGAGGCAGCACGGGTTGATCAGGTTCAAGCTCAACAAGAGGTTGAATACCATCATGTACAGCAGATGGCACGGCTTGAGCTCAAGAGAGAAAAGATGTGCCATAAATTTGAAATTGAGTCGCTCAGGCTTCAGTTACAACTTGCACAGGTCCAGTCACAGCCACAGCAGCAGCAACGGCAACAACAGCAGCAGCAGCAACAGCAGCAGCAACAGCCACAACAACAGCATGATCCCGCATTTGATTTTGGGAGTCTCAATTTTTAGATTTCTTTATGCTCAGTGTGAAAAAACCACAAAAAATTCGTCTTCATACTCATACACATGTAGTACAAATATTTGAATATGAAAATTTTAGTAGAGAGCATCGAAAAGAGCTGCCTGTACAAGACGGCGCTTCCGGTGCCCTTCCAATTCTCGGGGCAGTGACAACCCTGCTCCACCCCAGGCGAAACCTGCAACTGGTTCATCATCCTCGCTATCATCTTCACCACTCCTGCCCTCCTCAACCCATTCCCAGAAATCACTTTCATACTCCTCATCTTCAACATGTGCTGCAAAAGAGTGGATGATCAAACATGTGCAGACCCATGCAAGCGAAAGTACATAATCACGTTCTGAATTGATCTGTTGACGGAGTCCACAAAGTGACTGGAAGCGACCTTTGAGGTACCCCACAGCATGTTCTGACCTTATGCACACCTGTAAAAAAGGACATTTAAATCATAAATAATCATGAGAGGTCTTGGAAATAACTCACCGTAGATAAATGATAGTTGAATTGGTGGTTTGATGCTGCAAGTGATTGTGGCCGCTTGTAAGGCACCATACACCATGGGGAAAGTACATATGCAGAGTCAGCCCACAACCATTCACCATTGCAGAAAAGCTGGTCAGATTCTTTGAATGCGCGGGATTCCTTGAATGCCATTGAGTCATGCATACTGCCAGGGGGGCCAAGCACATAGTCTGTCATATCCGTGCATACCCGACCCCTACCCGACTTCCATGTCAGAAACTGTGTTCGAGGTGATCGCGGGAAGCGGAGCGGAGTGCGGCAGCGTGAGTGATCACTTAGCTAATGAACTACTCCGTTGCAAGGCGTCGTGGGGTTGGGACTTCGGCTTCAACGACTTGGCCAGAGCGTTGCGCCACGCGTTCTAGGCTGTCCCGTATTTCACGTTAGCAGGGAAGACCTTGCGGCGACGTTGACTCAAGCGAGGATGAAGTTGAGAGGCGAACTTAGGATGCAAGTACTTGGGGGGGGAATTCTAGTCGATATTCGAACTGAGGTACATCGACAGTAAACTACAAGTATAAATAAGGAAGGAGAACAGAGAAGGGACCGGTCGGTCCGACGCGGGACGGGAGCGGGATGATAAGTACGACAGAACTAAAAGGGCGATGCAGACCAGGGTACTGGAACAGAAGAAAAGAATGGAACAGAGGATGGCGAAGTTGGGAGGCAGAATGGATAGGCCGACAATATAGGCGCGTGGATCAGAATGTCAATATACGTATAAATCAAATATCAATAGAGGAATAATCAATTGTCAATAAAGGAATGTCAATAAGGAGTGGATCACGGCGACCATAACAACCGCTAGTTAGTTAAGCGAATGAATAGTGTAAAACGGTATCGGCCAAATGGCTGAGGAACCCAAGTGGTGGCGGGAGAACGAAGGGGGCACTGCTACGGGGCCGTAGAACGGGAGCCACTATCGGCGCTGCTAAGTGATGGGCAATGGCGAGATTAACGGGCGCGAGTAACGGCGCGAGGGTGGGGGTGCAGAAAGTGGTAGAGGGGCGGGGACTTTGCGGGGCCGTGACATTCCGGACCTCCACCCTCTTCACCTCCGGAGTCATACCCTACCGCTGCCGTTCTGATACTCACCTCCGGTCCTGGCAACACACCTCCTCTCACCCCCCACGCCACCTCTGCTCCTCCTACTCCACTCCTCCTTCACAACACCTCCACCCTCCTGTCACCCTCCTATGCTTCCACCGTCCACTCCGATACTCACCTTCGGACCTGACAACTCTCCTCTCCACCACTCCTCCTCCCTTACCTTTCCCCTCTCTCCTCCCTCTGGTACTCTTCCACCACCCTCCCGCCAAGTTACGACCTTCCACTGCTGTCCCGTACTTCGTACTCGGACACCGCTCGTACCTTTGCTCCGAGCCTCCATCATAGTCCCTACCTCGGACTTTGACTCCACCTCGGTCTTAGTCCATTGCATTGGTGACCTCATACTACGTAAAAACCATTGCCAATATCCCTCGGACTTTCCACCCCGCCTCCATAACCTCCGTAAGCTCTGCAACCCCCGAGCTTCGCGGATCGCCTTCGGCACTTTCGCCACTTGTAATGTATCTCTCGCGTTTTCCCCTCATCCCTATTTGGACTACTGCTTCTTCCTATTCTAGCCAGTTAGTCATCATCCCCACTTCTCCTCATCCTCCTGCCCCTCTGGGCCTCGCCCTCCCTACCTCCTTTCGGATGTATCACAGGTCCTGCCTTATGACCTTCGGTACCGCTCCGCTTCTTCTACCCTTTGTTCCCATTCAGATGTCTTCGTTCCGATTCGGTACCCTTTGTTTTCCTTGTGCTTTTGCCCCCTCCATTATATATATTGGCACTTGTACATACTCGTTTTGGTTCAGTCCGAAATCGACCTGAAATGCCCCCTAGAGACTTCCTGCTCACCTACTGTGAAATTAAGGACCAAATGGACAAACAGCAATGGCACAGCACTCCGCTTGAGTCGCTGAGGCCAAGGTCCCTCCACGCTAAGTCTCCGATTCCACTCCGGAGTCGTCTGTTTCTGCCCGTTCTAACAGATACCCAATTCTACGATTAGGGAACCACTTCCATTCACGCGACAACTCGATACGAATTTGGTACCTAAAAATAGTCCTAATTCGTACGATTCTGAAGATACCAAGAACGCCCCAATCGGTCGAGATTTGACGGAGTTCTGCATTGGACAGGTTAGGCATGGCAGGTGAGCATGTGTGGGTGTGGGAATCTCAAGCGGCAACCCAGAATTCCAGCCTCACTCGTTCCCACGGCGTCTAATAAATCGGTAAAAATGCTTATCGGCTGCGTAATAGTTCTATTCAGCTACATTTCCAATTTCGGATCTTAATTCCGTAAATCCGTTGAGAAATCGCTTATTTTCTTATATTTTCATATTTTTGCATCATTTCAGATATTGATCAATATTCATTTATTGTTACTGTTACCCTTTTTTTATTATTTCGCCTAGTAAGGTACCCAGGTGCCATATGGCACCAATATTTGCCATCTATTCTTTCTAAAAATAATTATTAGATATAATCCTGTACATACCAGATTTTGAAAAAAGAAGTTCTCCCCTCCCCCCAATTCTCTAAGGTGCTAGGATGCACTAGAGTTGGTGAGAGTGAGTGGAATTCCAACAGTAGGAATAAGGGCAACAATCTAGCCTGCAACAAGTGGGTAGTGGATTTGTTGAGCCCGGACCTTGCAGAAATCCTGGAGAACCCACACCGGAGTTAAGGATCGAGAGCATAGCAAAGCCAAGAGTGAGAGTAGGAGTTTAGGGAGAGTTTGGCCCCACGAGCTTAGTCAGCATTGAGAGCTGCGAGCCCTCTTGCAACGTTGAGACTGAATTCTCACCACTGGTTCCGGTTGCAGTTGTGACTTGACCTACAAAATGGGCAGTTGCTAGATGACCATTGGAAGGTTGGATGTTGTCTACCAGTATTCCAAGGCTTTCTACAGTTGTCGCTTCCACCATCATCACCAGACCATCATTGATTATGAGTAAAGCACCAGAGACATAAACTACTGTATCTTCTTGTGCATTTTCTTTCATTGTGGATTGAGAATACACAGACATAGTGATCTTGCAGACATTTTGGTCTCTGGTTGGTCCATCACCTGCCAAACACAGTGTGAAAGTATAACAGGGCCCTTCAGTATTGGCACTGGAACAGACTGGGAATAAATGTCAGAGATGGAAATACTGTCAGAAGATGGACAGGTTTCTGTCTGAGTCAAGGTTGGAGGTTTGGCAGAGGTTTGTTTGGGGCACACACACACAGATGTGTGGGTGGAAATATGCGGTGCATCTGGAAGCGCTGTTCAGAGTTAGCAGAGTGGGATCGCAGCCTCAGTGACTATAGGGGAGCGCTGTGCCCTGAGCTTGACATCTGGGGGAGATCCCTTATTTATGGACTGACACTCACAGCAAACTTCAAACAAGACTTGCAGGCGGAGTGGGCTCATAGGAGGAGTGTGGACTCCGCAAGCATGGCCTCACAGGGGGGGAAGCCCCCTTTGCAGAAGGAGGGACTCAGACCAGAACAGGGGGGTACTCTAGTTGATTTCAGACTGAGGTCCCCAATAGTATTTACAGGACATAAATAGGCAGGAGGAAAACATAGAAGGGCTGGTCAGTCTGGCACAGTCTGGCACGGAAATGAGCAGGGATTGTCAAACTGAATAAAGACAAGAGCCCAGGAAATGGGAGGCAATGAACTAAAGCAAAAGCAGATCAAGTGCCAATATTGGCAAGTTAAGCAAATGAATAGATGAACAATATAGGCACTTGGCAAGGAATGAATGGTATGCTGCTGAGTGACAAAAATGGCCAGAGGAGAAAAGTGGAGGTCAGCACATGGCACTGATACAAGTCCGCAAAGGAATGCAGAAATCAGCGCAGCGCTGTAGGCAGGATACTGTACTCACATGACCAACTACCGGCATGGTCCCAAGTGTGACACAAAATTCCCAGCCAGCATCCCATTTTTATGCGTGACACTGCAAGAGGGCTAGCGGCTCTCTATGCCGACTAAGCTCGTGGGGCCAAACTCTCCTAAACTCTCTACTTTCTCTCTAAACTTCGCTTGACTCTCGATCCTTAAACTCCGTGTGGGTTCTCCGGGATTTCCGCAAGGTCCGGGCTCAGCGTCCACTACTCACTCGTTGTGAGCTAGACAGCTGCCCTTATTCCTACTGTTGGAATTCCACACACTCACACCCTCTCTAGCGCGTCCTAGCACCTTAGAGAAAATTGGGGGAGGGGAGAACTTCTATTCCAAAATCCGGTATGTACAGGATATAAGGAACAATTATTTTTAGAATAATTGATGAGAAATATTGGTACCATATGGCACCTGCATACCTTATTAGGCGAAATAATAAAAAAAGGGTAACAGTAACAATAAAAGAATATCAATCAATATCTGAAATGATGGCAAAATATGAAAATAAAAGAAAATCAGCGATTTCTCAACGGATTTACGGAATTAAGAGCCGAAATTGGAAATGTGGCTGAATGGAATTATTATGCAGCCAATGGGCATTTTTACCAATTTATTAGACGCCGTGGGAACGAGTGAGGCTGGAATTCTGGGTTGCCACTTGAGATTCCCACGCCCGCACATACTCGTGACCTGCCGTGCCTAACTTCTCCAACATGGAACTCCGTCAAATCTCCTCCGATTGGGACGTTCTTGATATCGTCGGAATCGTACGAATTAGCACTATTTTTAGATACCAATTCCGTACCGAGTCGTCGCATGAATGAAAGTGGTTTTCTGAATGTGTGAACGGGTATCCGAGCCGGTTCTGCGCGTGGGCGATTATCCCGCCTACAACACCCAACTGGCAAGCATGACTTGAAAGGAAAGCAGTGCCCGGAGTTGGCCGAGCCAGATTTATTTTATATTGATCTCAAGCCATATTTGGCAACCAGTAAATACAAAAATTTGAAACACATTTGCTGTCCCCGTAAAAATTTTCTCACTCACTGGTATCACATATGGATGGGTTTTCTCTTGCACACTGCATCTGCTCTTGCACAGATGAGCCTATCTCATACAGTGGCATCCCAAAAGCCCTCATTGGGCCCTACTTTCCTAACGAAACCCTGACTGTCACCGAGTTCCTCCAGTTCAAACTCCCATCATTCCAAACAAATTTACAGACATCTGCATGTCTCAGTCTTTGCCCACCATCCATCAAAGAATTAAGTGAGCATGAACTCTGGAACATGCCCTGCCCTCCCTGCCCAGTGATAAAAGAGCTGATTTCTCAATATGATCCCAACCACACCAACCCTCCTCATTCCGTCAAAATCGGCATACGTTATACCACTATTGACATTCTCCGTGTCTGGGAAACCATATTTCGAGTACAGAATGTCCAGAGGTTCTGGAAAGAATCAGAGAAGTTAGTTGAGGCATGGGCAAACCATCACTCTGCTCACCGTGTTGCTATCGTGGTGGCTCAAAAGCAGCTTCTATCATGCAACTGGAACACAAAAGTGCTTGGATTCTCAAAGTCAGCACTGAGTACTGTGGGAGGGCTGATGCGTCACCTCACTTTCTCTTGTCTTGTGACAACTGACATCTCATACCACATCGAGCTTCTTGCAACAGCCTTGGTGGCCAGTGATGTAAAGGCCAGGCTTTTGAGTCCCCTTGACATTCAGTACCTAACTGGATGTGCAATGCAAGCAGGTGGCTCAGTAACTTATGGGTGCAATCATACCTGTAAAGATCTCTGTCAATTGGGGTCAGAGCTCTCATCTGGATCTGAATCCCAATTTGGTGGAATCATGCATGCTAATAATAATCACTGGATCGCATTTTCAGTTTTCCCTAAGGAATCAGTGATTTACCTTGCAGATTCTTTACATCGGGAAACAGGAGGTGCTGACTTACCTGTTGCAGCAAAGGAAGTGGCAAACGTTCTTCAATGGTGGCTCAATGAATCCTATTCTGGATTGAACAAGTCAACACCAACATTTCGAATCACTTCACTCCCAGTTGCTCACCAGAATGATTCCTCCTCATGCAGCTTCTTTGCCCTCAATGCCCTGATGCACCATCTCATCCCAACCAAATACCCGCTCTATGCTAGCAACGACATTGCTATGTTGCGTGTTGAATTTTTGATGGCAATCCTCAATCATCATGTTGAACAGGTAAGTAATCTTGTGTAACTGCAATCAAATGGGGACTCACCACACTGTGATTAGATACCACCTGTCCCAGCAGTGACTTCTGTGGCAGAAATTCCAACGGCATCGATGATTGAACCCAAGGTGACATCAGGCCACATGACAACAACAATCATGGAAGTGATGGCTGCCCCAGCAGAGACAGTCCCATTCACAGTAGCTGAGCATTCAACAAAGCCAGCTCCAACACCAACGACGTCAAGAATGTGCTCATCTGTGGCACAGTCGACCAGCCCTGCAGCCTTGCCAAGTAGCCCAGCCCCAACGGGCACCTTGCCCAATTCTGATGTCAAGAAACCGAAGGAGAAAAAGAAAAAATTGGACTTCACCATCCAGGAGGGGGAAGAGGGCCGTGGGTTGCTGCAATTCTTGAGCTGTGTCAGTCGTGAAGAATTTGATCAACAAGCATCGATTGGATTTGAAAGGATTGGCAAGAGATCTGAAGAATGGAGGGTGGAAGAGGAACTGGAAGCAAGGAAGAAAGTTGAATGGAAGCGAGCAAATGCACGAGAACGACAACAGCATCGCCGAGCAGTGTTGGCAGAAGGAGATGGTGATGCAAAAAAAAAGGTGAAGGAAGTTGATTCATCAAGGTCGCCACAGTTTCTAATAGATCATCCTAGCACATGCTTGATGTGGATATGGACCCCGGGACTTCAAGCAGCTCAGTTGTGATTGCAGAGATGTCACAGCCAAAACGCCGCATTGAGGAATGGGTGAAGGACCAGAAGTGCCAGAGGGCAACTCACCGTGTGCAAAATGTCATCCAGCCTCCCAGAAAAACAACACCAAAGTTTGCTAGGACAACAAATTGGTTCCAGCCCATTTTCTGGACATTGATCATTGAAGTGGCTGCGACCGTTGGCTGGTCAATGAGCCCCACCGAAATCGTGAAGGGATGTCAAGCAAGAAGCAAGAATCTATTTCACTCACTACGTGCCGATGTTGTTCGTAAATGGATTGATCGCACAGGGCCATGCCCACGTTGGTCTGATGAAACGCTGGCGAAGGTTGCGAAAGAAAACTGCCCAGGAGGGAATATTACAAAGAGGGGGATATTGGTGAGTTAACGACGATGCAAGGCAGTATGTAGGGAGCTGAAAGGACTGGGATCTACAGGCAACCCATCTAGACACTGTTGCAACAATCAAGCAGACTTTGTTGAGTGTCCGACAAGCTGGTGCCGCATTGGATGCTCACCAAATCTGTGGCATTATCATTGGGCAGATTCAATATACCCAGCCAAGTATCCTAACAACAGTTGTGAAGAAGGACAGCAGTGTGTTTGCTGCAAGCATGGGTTGGGTGCGGAAGTTTCTGAAGGAGGAGATGAATTGGAGCTTGCGATGAGCCACACGTGCATCACAAAAGATTCCATCCAATGCGGATGAAAAAATACGATCCTCATTGCTTCGGCAAGCCCACTCCATCCGTCAATATGCAATCCCTGGTAGTCTTCGTGTGAACTCAGATCAGACACAAGTTATCTATCAGCAGAATGCAACCTCCACTTACGAAAAGAAGGGATCACAGCAAATATCCACTGTTGGCCATGATGAGAAGTGGGCATTCACCCTTAATGTGGCTGTTTCTGCAAGTGGAACTCTACTACCATTCCAGGCCATCTTCCGTGGCAAGACTTCTGCAAGTGTCCCTTCAGCAAGTGCCCCAAGCTACAACGAGGCCATGCGACTTGGGCTTCTCTTTGAGTTCTCTGGGAATGATACATACTGGGCCAACATCTCAACCATGAAATCATTTGTAACACGCATTTTAGTTCCTTATCTCAATGCTGAAAAGGAACGGCTCTCTCTTGATCCACTGCAGGAATGTCTTTGGCAACTCGATGTGTGGTCCGTTCACACATCCCTTGAGTTTCGTGCTTGGCTGTATCAAATGTACCCATGGATAATACTCGACTATGTTCCTGGGGGATGCACAGGTCTCTGGCAGCCCTGTGATGTCGGTATACAGTGCTTGTTGAAACATGCTGTGAAGCGGGCCCAGCAATCGGCCGCTATCAAGGAAGTTTATTCCCAATTGCAAAGCGGGGTTGACTCATGCCACATAAAACTTGACACCAAGCTTGGCATACTGAGGGACCGTGTCCCCGAGACTTTAGTGTATGCTTTTCAAGCCATGAATCATCAGGATAGGATTCAAAAAGTGAGTCGATTGCAATACTTAAACTACTTATAAGTATGTGGAGTGCTAACTAGATCGAACTGTGCCGCTCGGGTGATTTCAACCTTTCCCATCACAGTCTAACTTCCCTTCCACTACGCTTAATCCTCGATTCCCTTCACAAAACTGATCCGGATCTTGCAAAGGCGATAACTGCACCACGAAGGCAACCCCTCAATGACACTGATGTCCACCCCGGCTCTGATTGTATTGCACACAAGGTCGGGTTCACAGATACTCCGGAAGATGACTCGGATGTGACGGTGGAGGAAGTTTTTGAGTATATGGTAGGGGATGTGGTACCTGATGGGCTTGAGGCAGTCAATGATGGACTGAGGGTGGCATCCACTTGTGCTGAGGAGGCTGAGCCAGATACTCTTGGTGAGACTAGCTCACTTTCCCTTTCTGATCCCCAGGGCTGCAAGCCTCAAGGCCGTGGAATGCGAGCCAGGTGGACACGCAATTTGGATGAAGAAATGGCAATTTTTCGTTTTTAAATGTAATTACTTTAAAAGGCAATTTTAAATACATTCACACAGCCACTGGGCAGCCAAGCACTGTTTGGGCGTGACATAAGTTGGCCAGCCTTTTCCTTCATGTGATGCGTGACGTGGCTGTGTTTTGAGCTGGACCTCCTGGCTCTTGTGACGCATGACAGGTAGTTGCTCATGTGAGTACAGTAACCTACTATACTCTACACCGCCAGTATTTTCATGGTTTATGCTCACTAAGGGTTCCCTGCATGCAAAGATAACCTACCAATGCTACCAAAGCCCATGGTGCATAAAAACATTTTATTTCATTTTATTATGGAGTACAATTGTGCATAATGTGCTGGTACTGAATTGGTCCAGTGCAAAAACTATGCTTGGCGCTATTGGTCGCCGAGAGACGATCAAGGGCTCAGAAAATAGAGAAAAATCATAAATATGGATTCCCCAAATTTCATCCCGATCGACCCAGCCGTTGTGGAACAATAGTGGTGATGATTTCTCATCTTACCATGAGGTTTTGCACAATGTTGAAAGGCATGTGAGGGTGGCGGTGTTGAAAGTCCCATGCAGTGGAGCTGAGATCCGTACTTCGGGAGATTGCGAAACTGGTTTTCAGCCCAAAATGGAAATCACAAGCTGTACCGAAACAACCAAAATGCACTTTGGAGTGCTCAGAAAAATTCAGAAAAATCACAAAGGATGCATATGAAGATCCAATTGACATGGGGACTCTCACAGACACTTTCTGGGATGTCTAACCCTGCGCACGGGCCAATTTCACGATTCTCATGCCCACCACTCAGTCAAATCTCAACTGTTTGGGACAAATTTGGTATCGGGAGAAAGCTATGAACCTGAGGAATCGAATGGAGAGGTCGGGAAGGGATGCTATGGGTAGGAAGAGACGGATGAGTGTGGTGTGATGGTGGAAATTGGTGGAGGACAGCAATTATTAGTGGATATGGCCCGCTTATCACTCCTGTCTTTCTTTTATTGAACTTCCACATCGGCTGTTGGACTTATTGGCCATACTTAATGGTCCACATGGTGTCCATAGCAACAATCTTTCGTTTTATATTTTCTTTTCATTTGTTTTTCCACATTATTGCCATTCCATGTGTTTAAAAGCTCTGTACACATAGGAATGGAAAAGTGACCTCCCTTTTGACTACAAAAGAGACTGTAGCACTGAGAGATCCAAATTCTAAGCTTAACTCCTTGAGTATTATAAGGAATCCCTGACGATTGTCCAAGACAGACCAGGGGTACATAATTCTCAACAGGTTTTTGTGATTATTTTTGTTTTGTTAGCACCTGGACTGAACCTAGGACGAGCTTAAGACATCCCAGACTGCCTCCCCATGAATTTGCTTGCATTTAGGGGGTTAGATCTCTAGCCTGCTTGCAGCACTGATAAGTCTGCAACAGAGGGTGGTCTGTCAGTGCTGTCACAAACAAGGACAGCATGATGGCCAGCAAGGTACAGAGGGGTGTGTTGACCTGACCACAGGGTGTGGAGGGCAACCAGGAGTGGCAGAGGTGCAGAGGGTGTGGAGGTGGGCACAGGTCCAGATGCAGTGGATGCAGAGAAGATGCAAAATATGCAGAGGATGTGGAGGAGACAGAGATGTGAGACTGAGTCATGCCACAAGCCTAGGAGGGACCAGAGGGACTGGATGCTGGGAGCACCAAAGGCTTGGGAACTGAAGGCGAAGTCGGAATGCCGGCAGGGTCCAGGGTCTGATTTTGGCCAAGTCTCACTCAATAGGGCAGGGGCCAGACATCGGATTGAGGGCTGGTTATATTGGGTTTCAGGTTGGCAGATTCACCTATCAGCATTGATTCACTGCTGATGGAGCCCTGGGATTTGTTGGTCATGACAATAAACCACAGATGTAACTGGAAGCCATAGATACAATCTGCCTTGTGCAGATCTGTGAGGGCAATGACAGAGTCAGATAGAAATCAGAGCTTTTTCACTGGTGCCAATTTTACATGGTGATGAGGTCATCCTAGGTTGAGATAATGGGGATCCTGTAAGACAATGAATGGCATCATGTGAAAAGCAGCATAAAGTTCACACTCAAGTTTGAAATGCTCAGTCTGCTGATCAATTGCATTCTGTCCCTTTTTGGTGCATTGATTTTTATAGCTTTTTATCCTAACAACCTTTTATGTACAACATTGATGATGTCAGGTTTTTCATGGGATAGAAAGAGTAATGCATGGGAACGATGTCAAATGTGTGTCAATGTGGTGTATAATTGACCATGAGCAAACACATCTTCTCTACAATCCAGTACCACCCAGTCCAGAGTAAGGCCTTGACAACTATTGAAAGTGGTGGAATACAATAATCTTAAAGGAAATTGTTTATGGCAGATGGTGTATTGGGCATATGGAGGTTGGAAATTGAAATTGATGCAGGGAATGAGATGAGAGATGTCCAGGCGGTTGCCTCAATTTAAGATTCGAATTTCAATCCATTGAGATTGGCAGTTAACTATTAACATGCATTAATTCTTAACCAAACCTTTGGGTACAGAAAGATTTCTGAGTAGAGCACAAATCACACTGGTTTTGAGGTGCAATTCATGATTGGGAGCTTCAGTCGATTTTACCAGGGCTAAATAGTCTGGAGAGGTGACAACATGAGTGTCATTCAGATTGCTGTCATCATCTACAATGGCATTGCAACTGAAATGGATTGCTATTTCGGACATCAGTCTCATGGTTGAAAGATGTGTGAAGTGAAAGACACACAGGCTGGACCTGGTAAATGATGCGGATTGATTCATTAAAGTCATCCACTAACACATCGAGAGGAGTGAGGAATGCCCAATGAACTGCTGTGAGAGGATCTGAAAGAACATGATCAGGGAAAAGGAACTCTTGA